TGCATTTGTGTAGCTGAGATGTGTGTCTACGTGAAAGAACATGTGGAGAGAGTCGTATTGGCATTCGCATCAAGCGCATTGCGCATTTTTCGAATTTTGGCCCCCTTCCAGGGACCTTGATTTTTACCCGCTGGCACTGACGTCTTTTAATTGGTCAGCCGGTTAGCGCGGTCGATGCTAATAATATAAACACACACACACACACACCTCGAACATCTCCAACTCCGTCGTCTCCACGCCAGACCTCAGCCGCTCGCACGTCATCTCGGCCTCGCAGAGCCTCCGCTCTAGCGCCACGAAGTCCTCCGCCCCCGTGTTCAGCGCCTTCTGCGCCGCGGCTAGCTCGACCTTGGCCGCGCCCCGCAGGCCTTCGCTCGAGGCTAGGTCCTCCCTTAGGCCCTCCTCCCGCGCGGCGCACTCGGCGAGGCGGGACTCCTTGCCCTCGAGCTCGGCCCGGAGGCGCGACATCTCCGCGTTGACGTCGGCGCCGGACGCCTTGAGGACCCGGGCTTCGGAGGAGGCCGTCGCAAACCTGTTCAAAAGCGTGGCAAACAAATAAACAACACACGTCGTTTTTTTTTGTCATGACACGGATATAGGGTAGATACATAGGCGGACGATGGATGAAGGGATTTGATCTAGATCGTTCGGTGTGTGGTCGTGGAAAAACGCGGAAATATCAGGGTCGTACCCGTGCTGCAGCGCGCATTGCAAACGGCCCACCGTGCTCCTTGGCACGTACGCCGTGGATCGCAGTGGTCACGCTCTCGCCTCAAGCGGCGGTAGCTAGGAAGGGCCGACCGAGTCTCGGAAGAACAGACCACATGGGGTTCTTGCAGAAAATCATCACAGGTTTGCTCAAGTTCCATCGAGCCAGAAAAAACAAACAACGCACACGCACGTCACCTCAAAAAGCTCACTCGCACACAACAAACAATTCTACGTGTCTCCAACCCCCCGAAAACAAAACGGTCGAGACGAAAACAGCCAAAAAAAATACTGAACAACACATGAGAGAGGCCAAAAACCAATCCACCCACATGTTTGTCATCTTCTCGAGCTCCTCCTTCGTGGAGGCGGCCTCCCGGCGGCTGGCGCTCAGCTCTTCCCCCGCCTCCTCCGCCTCCCTCGCCGCTGCCGCCAGCCGGGCCTCCGCCCTTCCCAGCTCCTCGCGCAGCCGCTCCGACCCCGCGACGCTCTCGTCCAGCTTCTCCTCGAGCGCCCTCCCTTCCACGAACGCCGCGCACAGCCTCGCCTTGACCTCCTCGCGCTCCTCCCAGAGCGCCGCGCAGTCGGCCTCGCTGCTGCGGAGCCGCTCCTCCGCCCGGGTGTGCTGGTCCGCGTACTCTACCCCCTCCGCGAGGGCGTCCCCGAGCCGCTGCCGGAGGCTCTCGGCGTCCGCGGCGCCCTGGGCGACGGCCCCCTCCAGGCACGCCACGCTCTCCCGGGCCGACTCGAGGCCCTTCTCCGCCCCCTCCAGCTCCCGGGCAAGGCGCTGGGCGCCCCGCTCGCTGGCCTCGAGCCGCTCCTCCAGCGAGGCGCCCACGCCCTCGGCCGCGGCTAGCGCCTCCTTCGTGGACTCCAGCTCCTGGCGCAGGGCCGCGCCGCCGGCCCGTTCTTCGGACAGGGCCTTCTCCAGCTCTGCCCTGGCGGACGACGATGCCTCCAGCTCGGCCTCGACGCCTCTCAGGCTCTCGTGGAGTACGGCGAATCCCGCCTCTGCCTCAGACAGCTCCGCCGCCTTCGCCTCGGCCTCCTGGGCGGCGCCCTCGAGCCCCCGCCTCGCGTCGGCGAGCTCGGCCTCCAGCCTCCCCGCGCGGGCCGCGAGAGCCTCCCCCTCCCCGCGCAGCGCGGCCACCTCCCGGCGGAGCGCGGCGTTGCCGTCCTCGCTCTCGCGCAGCTCTTCCGCGCGACCGACGAGCTCGACCTCCAGACGGGCCGACAGCGCCGTCAGCTCGTCCGCCCTTTCCCTGGCTGCGGCGAGCTCGACGCCCGCCGACTCGGCCCTCCGGGTGGCCTCCTCCGCCGCGGCGGAGCTCGCCTCCGAGGCGGCTTGAGCTTCCCGGAGCCGGGCCTCGCTGACGTCGTTTGCGGCACGCAGGTCGTCCTTGTCCCGCAGCAGCGCCTCCTCACGCGTCTGGGCCTCGCTCGCCTGGAACTCGATCTCCGCCTTCGCCTTGACGAGCTGTGTGTTGTTGACCATCAAGAAGGGGCGGCGGTTGAGGTGGATAGGTGCATCGACTGGGGACGGACGCAATATCGAGGCACTCACGCAGGCTGATTGACCTCCCAAGGCTGCCAAAGCAAGAGGACAGAGGGCTTCTTAATTTATTTATTTATTTTCAGTGTTTTCATCGTCGGCAAAAAACGAATAACGACCAATATCTAACAAGCAGCCGTCATCTTACGAGAGAGAAGGTCGCATACCGCAGCAGGCCTACGGAGGATACATAGCTACTGCTGTGGGTGCCGCTACCACCACCGGCCTTACGAAAAAACAGTTCAGCGCGCAAGAGCTTTGAATCGGAAAACCGGCAGCCGCCGCAGCCGCACCGACATGACCCTTCACCCCCCCCAAAAAAAAACAACAGTTGGTCGTCGGGATGAAAACCCAGAGTGCCAGAAATGGTCAAGCACAAGCACCAACACATATCACAGAATCGCCTTCGCGAGAATGAAATCATTGATCTTAGAAAAAAGGCAGGGGGGTTCGTATCCCTATCCCTATCCCCATCCTCACCCCATACGCCCTACTACAACCAAGCTTAAAACATCTTCGCGTGAAGGCTGTTAACATTACAACCACACCTCGTCAATCCTGTCCTCCAGGTCCTTCGCGTGAGAGGCGAGCTCCTCCTTCTGCTGCCGGAGGTCGTCGAGGGCGGCTTCCGCCCGCTCCGCCTCGAGCGCGGCCGCGGCCACCTCCGCGGCCAGTCGGGACGCCGCCGCCTCGGCTTCCTCGAGACGGCCGGCGTCGGCGATGACTGTTGCGGCCTTGCGCTCGGCTGCCTGGGCGCGCTTGACCACCTTTGCCGACTCGGCTCGAGCATGCCTCTCGCTCTTCGCCAGCGCTCCCTGCGTTGTTGTCGTGTGTCGGTTTGTGGAAAGACAGGATCAACGGCTAAGGAGGGGGTGGCATCGGTCACGATCGCCGCGGTAACGTTTTTTTTTGTTTGTGGGGCGGGGGTGTGGCACGCGAAGACGCGAAGCTTACGTAGCTACGACGTACTAGGAGTTTGTTGACAAGGCACCTTAGCAGCAGTTGAAAGAACATGGCTCCGTTGACGTGAGATATCGTTGTCGAACCCAGGGGTTAGCCAAGAGAGATCCAAATGACGACAAAACATGCGTCAGTATTTTCTTGGCTTCCAGATCAAGCTTCCGAGTCCATGGAGGATGCGAACCACCGGACACAACATCAAACCAGTGAAATGTTCTCCCCGTCTAGACTAGGCCGACAAGCAGAACCGCCCCCGAGCCAACACGGCATGTCCGTCAACTTTAGCGGGCGTGTCTGCTCTCTAGCCAACGAGAGACACTACGTAGAATATCGTACACGTAGATACATGTAGGCGCTAATACTCAACGGCACACACGGCGCACCTACCACCAACAGGCGAACGTGCGTGGCAGGAGAGACATGATCTGCGGTGGCGTTGCCTTCGAAAAGGGGATTGCTTCTCGGTTGTCCTGTCTATTGAATTGTCACTCGTTTAACACTTGCTTGCACTGTCGTGACCGACAGGGCAGCGCATACTGACAGCAGATATACGTTCTGATTCGAACGGGATCATGAAATGGAGTACGAAATACGCTGGCTGCTGCAAAAGATCCTCCTCTTCCTTCCGACATCAGTAAGCAAGATACATATGAGTTGGGCTGCTTCGCCGAGTTGAGGGCTACACCTTGGGATAGAGTTGTCGACGCAAACCGTACACAAAGCACACAGCTGCTGTATCAGCGTCTCGTAACGCCAGGCTTGCGCAAGAGAAATCGATTGCCGTTTTCACTTCTCCCTTCTCCACTCAGGGCAGGTTGTAGTGTGCATGCTTCCACTTGCCTCGAACATCATCACGAAATGGCGGGAAGCATGCCACCCCGGAACATGACAACCCGCATCGCCAGGCGCCCATCGCCAGAGCCATGACGCACTTCAAACCAACGAGCCACCCAGTATGCAAGCCTCAAGCACACGATGCCCTACATCCCATGCGAGAGGCACATCTTCCTCCAGCCATCTGTCTTTCTCTCCTTTTTATCCCTCCGTCGTCTCAAGCGCGCGCCCCATGTACATGTAAAAAAAAAAAATGTAGTCTACCCTGCCCCTGTACGTACCTGCAGAGACCTAAGCGTCTTGACCTCGTCTTGGAGCTTCTCTCTTTCCATCTCCAGCCGAACCAGTTGCTTCTCCTGCTGCTCCGCCTTGACCTTCTCTAGCCTCGACGCACCGACGTTCAGGGCCGGGCGAGGGCGCCCGAAGCCGCACGTACTCGTGGGCTGCTTGGAGGTCGGCGCAGGCACGCTGAGATTTTCCTCCGTCGTTGTGGGGTTGTTTTGCTCGCGATCCAGCGGCGCCATGCCCTTCGTGGACGTGAAGCCGAGGCTGACGGCACCGGCCATCCCCTGAGACCTCGGCAGGCAGGGGTCATAGTCTCCGGGCCCGAGGTTAGATCCCGTGATCTTCTCCTCGAAGCGATCAACCTTGGATTGTGCCCAAGACACCGCCATGCGCCCTAGATTTGCAAGTTGCCGTTGTGGTGTTGTTCCGGGGGGCGGCAGAGGCTGTGCTGCTGGTCGTGCTTCTTCTCGTCGCGAGACTTTTCTTCCTCTTGGGTCGCGGCGGTGGCCACTCCGCCTCTGTCCAAGTCTGATGTTCCTCGCTGCTTGCTGTGCTGACTGCTGCTGGGTCTTGGCTCGGTGTAATCGTCCCCTGCTGGGTGAGGTGCGTACTACGCCTGCGGGTTGGTGTGGGTCTGCATGTTCCGCTCCTACCTGCCGCGCGGGCTTTTTTCCTGGTGCTGTTTTTTTTTTCGCGCAAAAACAAATTCACAACGGTCGGATACATCTACGGAGATTGCGGCACAACAAAACATATGTTCTCTCGGTCCCTCGATCTCGACTCGCGGGTCTCTCTCTCCCTTTCTCTCTCTCGTCTCATGCTTACGTATGCAACGACCGACACGGGTGGTAATGGTCTCGGAGTCAAGGCGTGGCTGATCGTTTCTCTGTGTACCCGACCCGCAGTCAGGGCGTGCTTTGTTCGGGTGCGGGAGCAAGTGCAGCAAGTCCACAGCAGCAGCCGTTTCTCCCGAAACGCACGCGTTCGCGAGCAAGTGTTGTTGTATGCACAGATTACCGCAGCTGGGTGCAGAATACACAACGCAGCAACCTTCACTAAGAGCGGGCAAAGGGGACCATCGCGAGGAAATTTCTCGGGAGGGCGGTGAGAGTACAGGGAGACGTGACAGAGAGTCAAGGGGGAGAAATAGGTGTGTGAGAGAGAGAGGGAGAGAGAACGACCGACACAGAGAGAGCCAGTGCAGCATACAACGGGGGCCAAGGCACGAGAGAATCCGCTAATAATCGACCACATCGAGGAGACACCGATAGAAGACATTTACAGATGTGTAAGCACATCATCAACGCGAAGGTACGCCGCATTGTAGTGCAGTACTACAACGCAAGCAACGCATGTGTACAAGCGCACACATTTTTGAGAAAAGTCGACAAGACTGCTTGTGTACAACGAACTTTAAGCCTGTACAAGTAGACCTTTCTCTTTTGTGTGTGATCGCACTGCTGTGTCGCGACACCGGAGAAGAAGTTTACCAAAGGTGGTCGACTATGTAGACCGTGACGGTGGTCACATATCGGTGCGCAGTCTACAAAAAATCTCTTTACGGACCAGACACAGATTAAGCCACGGTCAGGGAATTCATTCGCGACTAAGCAGACGGAGGTAGAGGGAGGCCACCCCTTCGTCAGTGAGGTAGTATATCTCCCCGAAATGCGCAGGACATGCATGTCCGTCCGTGGAGAAGAGGTCACGTCCGGGAGAAATCTTTGCGGCAGGAGTCCAAGATGTATCGTTGAGTCGTAGCGCAGCCTGCAGTAGATACCGGCAATTCCTTGAAGATTGCGTAGCGTTCGTTGTGGTTCGAGCGCGCTTCTTGTCTGCACAGGCACCGCCGCCGTGTTACAACGGGTCGCACATGCGTTACACCGACCTGCAAGCCCGGCGATCGCAGTAAAAGCTCATGCTTGTCCCCGGCCAGGTCAGCATTCAATCCCCGTGTTGTAAGAGATGGTACGAGTGCCCGGAGTGTCACGACGAGCGTGAGAATCACCCCCAACGTATAAGTGCAAAAAACGTGGTGAGTTATGTACGCTATTCTTGTGCAATGTTACGAGTGGGTAGAAGATGACTGAGCATGTTCTGGAAATATCTACGACGCACCGAACGGAGTGACTATCAAAAAGAATGGGGTGCGGCTGGCAGGGTGACGTAAACTCGGACCTACATTGGTGTCGATATACACGACGAAGCTGTCCGTAGTATTATTCCAGCTCAATGCGAGAGTCATCGTTGGCTGCACGACCAACGTCTCAGATAGACCCGTAGTCCGGCAGTGGACAATCTTTAGTGAACAACTCTTTGCATGTGCCATCTCTCGCTCCAGCTTTCGTCCCACGCACACATCCCCGGCATCGAGACAGGCGTTCGCGTGCAAGACGTGCCGGAAGATTTTCGTGAAAGATCTCAGGTAAGTCGGCTCACGATATATACCTGCATGAAAGCTTCGTAGGGGAATACGATGTGCCAAACAAAGTTATCGTAGGGGAGTACGATGTACCAAACAAAGCGTAATTGAGGTTATTAGGTAAAGGCCAAACCATTAGACCACTCAGTCACATTTAGTCTTTATGTTAATAGAGTCCTAATCGGAAGGGTTATGGTGCATGCTCGCAAAATAACACATACATTCGCGCCGCTCGTGTTGTTTTTCCTCAATCCTCCCCTGCAACCGTATCGTTACCGGGACCAGCATCTACGGTACAGAGGACAGCGCTTGCCCGCACTGCGAGACGGTGTTTGTGCTACCTGCGGTGACTCCCGAGGCAAAGGTGGCGCAACTCGCGCTGAGCATACTAGCGGCGGAGGTGTCCGCTGAAGTGTCAAAGTTCTGAAAGAGATTGCGTGCGTGTAAACTGTTGTGGGGGGTTGTACAAGTACCCCTCCAAGAGACTGTTGGAGCCCCTTGACTACGTTGGACCATGTCATTCGCCGCCCGCAGTGCGTACTTTCTGGAAGTGGAGGAGCATCGTATAGCGGAGCGCGGCTATGCGCAGGTTGGTCTCTGACGCATGTTATATGTAGAAGGGGATGCGTCTTTTTGTCAGACGAATTGCACTCGTTTTGTCCTTCATCGCCTTGTCTTTTTGGCGTCCGTCAAAACCTTCGCACTGAATACTCCATCGGCTTCACTCTGTACACGTGAACCACTGAACGGCTCAGCTATGATTGCTGTGTCGTTTCAGGTTGTTCGGTTTGTAGGAGAACTGCCGTTGACAAGACAAGACACGGCCAGCTAGGGCAGAGGTTTTTGGGTTGTTCGTCCGCTTGCCGCGCTCCTTGCCGTAGCACCGTGCTCCGAAGGGCTATACGTCATCAACATGGTAAATTTCGAAGAGCACGTCCCAACTCTGAACACTCACGCCGTAGAGCACGAGAACGGCGTCCTCGGGTCCTCAAGCCTGCGACACCTACAAGTTACGGGAACGCAGTGTGTGTACATCGCTCATTCACCAACCACAAGCACGGTCCTTCGCGTCACGCCGACAATGTACAACAGACAAGTGGTAGAGCCCGGTTAACGGTTCCAAAAACAAGCCTTCGTGCACTAAGCGAATGTTTGACTCGATACATGTCATTGTACGGAGTAGCGTCTAATGATTAAGGCGCCACGCCCGCCTACAACTCTGGTCTCAACAAAAAAAATACACACACGCAAGGATAAAAAAAAGAAGGGTCTCAGGAAAATGTCAAAAGGATGGAACGTCGGAAAAGCAGCACCGACAACAGTCTTCTACAGAAGACTTGATCCCCGACCCCGAAACACACTACATCACCAGGGCGTTTTTCCACCTCGTGCTCATCATCCAAGCTTGTACGTACCGCCGTACGTTGCACGAATCGGCATTGGTGCATTAGCCGTGTCCTAGACTTGCATCCCTTCTTCCCAAGATATTACATGCAGCTGTGAAGCCCAGGTCATACATGGGCGTGTGTCTGCTGATCTACAGAGAGACACACAACCAACCGCGAAATGACTCCTGGTAGAGACCAGCTGGGCTATCCAACGTGCCGAGGATGGCTGCAGTGCGATCCGAAGTATGCCGCGAAGATGCAACTGGAATACTGGACGCGAAAGACTGCCCACGAACGCGCGCTCGCTCTCTGCATTTAGACACCGCAGGCGGTTGGTCTGGTACCGCTCGGCCACGCTTGGGGTTCCACGCTTCCACGCTGTATCGCAAGGTAGGAAAACGAGTCCCCGCCCGTGGCAGACTGAACCACCACATCACGGGACCTTGGCTTAAGTCTAGGCACCATTTTGGGGTCCACCCGAAGAAGGTTGAAGTGTCGCGGGCGTTTGCCGCACGTTGATCCTTATCATGTCTAACCGGCGCACGTTGCCGCACCCAGTGATCACGCCAGCAGTCGGGAGCAAACTGAATAAAAAGATCTGGCCATGCGCGCGCTCCTTCCTCAAGACCTTCCCACCGCTTGAGTGATTCTTTGCTAAATCTAATTAGGGCGCGCCAGTCTCCACCTTTTCGGTGCATGTTTGGAAGCAACCAGCCGGTGCGTACCCACGAAAACTCCAGCATGGAACGAACACGATGAGTAGGGCGGATCACTCCTTTCTTCTTAACGCTGCTGCTTCTCCTCCACGAAGCCGCACGGCAGGACATATCAATCTTTCTCAACGAACAAACGCATGCGTGCACGAGCCGCCGCACGAGCCCTCCACACACCATCGCAACGCGTGCCAGACTTTGGGCTTACTACGAGAGTGAGGGGGTGACCCAAAACCTCGCAAACGTGTCCGATTTCTTTTCAGGCTTGCGAAAAGTGAGGGGGTCGTCGTCAGAGCATCACGGGGCTTTCGCTGCTGCTGCTGCTGCTGCTGCTGCTGCTGCTGCTGCTGCCGCCACTCCCAACCGCCTGGTCCACCGCGGCCGTCAAGGCCGCCACCGTCCTCACGAGCTCCGCCCGGGAGGCCTCCAGCCTCACCGAGGCCGCCGCGTACATGGTCACCGACGGCGCGGTCGACCGCACCACCGCCAGCACCGTCGACACGGCCTCCTGCGTCGACCTCGCCGCCAGCGTCGCCGGCTCGGCCGCCGCCACCACCGCCTGGGCCGGGCCCGCGTTTGAGATCACCGTTAGCGCCTCGCGCACGGCCACCATCGCCACCAGCGCCGAGTCCAGGGTGGCCCCCCGGGCTTCCGAGAGCGCCTGCCGGTCGGCCGTCGCTCTCCTCTCCGCCGCGGTGGGCGTCGGCGTCAGCCCCCTCTCTAGGGGGCCCCGGCAGCAGGGGCAGCCGATGTTCCCCGCCCTGCGGTTCTCGGCGAGGCACGCGCGGTGGAACTTGTGCTGTGGCACAGAAGGTTGGAGGACATGATGGGGGGGGAGAGAGAAGTTGGGTGAGCAACGCGCGTACTTAGATGCGCGCGACCGGTGCTCGTGAGAGTGTAGGGTTCGAATGCGAAAAAAAAACGAACTTGGCTATTTTTTCATCAATGGAACGAGAGATAAGACCGTTGTGGCGGTGAAGGAAAAGCACGCCCGTGCGGCGTTGTGGTTGGTCGCATGTTGTCACAAGATGCTTGGTGACTTCTCTGCACAGCACGTGCTCGTCGCAACAGGACATTCGATCAGGAAAACAAACGCGACGGGACTGCTGTACCGCGACACAATTGCGGGGACAGACAACGACCTAGACCTCCCTCTATGCACATCATTGCTGGCGAAGCAGCATGTGGAGGTAATGTTGAGAGAACGTCGAAGAGAGCTGAGACTTCGGAGATGCACGTGCTACAGTAGGTCCACCAACCACACAAGCTCAGCTCTAAATGGACCAAGGCCGACAACATTGCGGAATACTAACGCCATCTCTTGACGTGAGGAGCAGCAGAGCACACACACATGCAACTACCGCTGTGGGGCAATCAAAAATACTTACTCCCCTCTCCAAAAAAGGGTATAGCGGCACCGTCAAGCAATGTCCGACAACCTGTGGCACAGCAGCAGCAAGTACGCGCCATAGTATCTACTATTATAGTGTCCAACAAGCTAGAGAGTGCCATGCGCATACCAGCTTGCTGCTAGTCTACATCATCTGCGGCACGTGCGACCGGTATCCACCGATTTGCCAAAACGTAAACTACTGCAACATTACATGTACCCTTGGTGTAGTTACCCCGGCCTGCTTCTCACCCCACACGCTTGGATCTGGTACACCTCCTGCTGCTGCTGCTCCTCCTGCGGCTGCTGGCTAGAACTCCTCAACGGGCAAAGACAAATAACGCAGTCTCCCTCCAAGCGCCCCACGGTTGTCTTGACCTCCTCTCCCTCGCCGCTCTGCTCGCAGTTGCCGGGGCTCCCGGCTCTGCCTGGCGTCGGTGTTCGCGGTATCGGGGAAAGGATCGTCGGCGCTGCTGCTGAAGGCGGAGTAGTCGCAGCAGCCGCGGCGGCGGCAACGGCCGTGGCAGCGTCGGCAGCACTTCTCGCAACGCCGGGCGGCGCGGCGGCCGACTGGAGAGCGGACGGGGCCCGTGCTGCTGCTGCTGTCGACCGGCTCTGACCAGAGCTTGTATTGGGAGCGGCGGCGGAAGACCGAGAACGCGTTGCTGCTGGTTGCCTCGCCAAAGCCCCCCGTTGTCGTGCGGCTCTTCTTGCCCGCTCCGCGCCCCTGCTGCTGCTGCTGCTGCTGCTGCGCGAACTTGTTGGTCGGTGTAATGGCGAACGGTGGATTTTTCCCCGCGAGAGGTTAGCTGCTGCTGCCGCCGCCGCTGCCGCCGCCGCCGCCGCCGCCCGCGCCGCCTTGCTCCGAGTCCTCGGGGCTGCTGCCTCCGTTGCCGCTGCCGCTTCCCGCGCCACGGCCCCACGAGTTCTCGGTCTCGTGTTCACAGTTCCAACTCCAAATCGCCGTGTTTGTTCGCATGTGTCGCAAGGGCGTGTGGGGAATGTGGGGAAGGGAGCAGGGGTCGGAGGTCAATTGCTGGGCTGGTTTGTGGGCGTGCAGTGAAGGCAGATGCTGCTAAAAGCTTATTTACTTCCTCACCTCAGAGTAGGCGACAGCTCCAAACTATTATAGTCGACGTTTGAGTCTCAACTTCAGTCGCCAGAGCGATTGTGACCAGTCCAGTGAAACAAAATCGTCTCGACTGCGTTACTGTTCGCGTCATGGTGCCGTGTGGACGACGGGTCAGCCACTGGAAGCACTTCATTTTCCTGCACGAAGATGTGTGCGCTCCAGAAGCATGCATGCCTGCATAGACGACACCACCACTAGTATGTATCTGCGATGTCCGAAACGTAGAATAGTCTTACATGGGAAAAAATATATGTCTGCTGAGGGCATCGACAACCTTCCTTTTTCTAGACAACCTGTTGTTGCACAATCTTACCGCTGTTTTCCATCTTCGCGCTGCAGAGGCAGCCCCCCTCGGAGGCAAAGGGGAGGCTTATACTTCCTACAGAGTGCGATGCAGCAGGGTGGAGTGGTGCCTGTGGAGAGTTTTTTGAGTTTTCCAAAAGGAGACTGAAACTGGAGGCGGTTGGGATGATTCCCAACCGTGTGGCATCCTTTGATGTTGATTGCGCCGCACGTTGCCTCTGGTGTCGCTGCTGGTTTCTTACGAGCGCTTCTACCTTGACCTTTGACAAACTGCTACACCTCCGTGCTCTCACTTGCAGCTTAGCTCTCTTACGTCTCAAAAGAATCCACCACCACTAGTACGCGGGTGGTAGACGACGAGTTCCACAAAAGTTCCGGGACATCTGCGTGGACGGCCCGTCCGCCCAAACAAACTGGTGGCGCCATGAGTTTCCTGGATGATAGCGGCAGCAGCAGTGGCAGCGAGGGAGAGGGAGGAGCCAAGGCGTCCACAAGCAGGAGACTAGGGTCCGGCTCTCGAGAAGGGGACGGCGAAAGGCTCCGGGTCAACGAAAGCTTCGCCAAAACGTGAGACAACCTTAGCGGACGCTGCCCCAGCTGCTGCTGTTTATGCTGCCGTGTTGACAGGGCAGTAGGTACAACAACAGCAGGGACCCCTCCCCAGAGTTGCGGACGAGAGCGAGGCCGACCGCAGTGTATTCGCTCGTGATATGGGTGGTTGTGGCGTGTGAACGGATGTCGACTAGGCCCAAGTCGGTGTGGATTGTGGAGTGCACAACTTTATGTTGGGAGTTGCGGTGGCTTCGGTTCTAGGCCATCTTCGCGGTTTCGTTACCGCTGCACAGCAGTCATGCGGTGAAGGACATGCAGAGAGCGTCCCTCGACAAGCACTTTTCAACGTTCGCTCTGGGCTTCATTCGCAGCCCTTGTGTCCTGCCTGGTGATGTGCACGTGTGCACGACGGCTGTAGCACCTGCCCTTGACCTCAAGCTCCTCTCGGGAGACTAATATGACGCCCACGCCCTCAATGATGTGCTTCATGACTTGGTACACCTTCGTTGTCACACCTAAATCCTCCCTAACTCCAAGTATTTTGAACCCGCGCGCCCTCCATGGTGTCCTCACCTGTTGGTGTTGTAACCCTCCCCACCAGGTTCGAGAAGAAGAAGCGTGAGCAGGAGCTGCAGGCCGCCAAGCACCTCGACTTGGGGTCTGACGACGAGGAAGGGTCGGAGTCGGACAGCGAGACGGAGGACGAGGACGCCGAGATGCTCACCCCTGCCTTGGACCTTCAGGTGCGATAGTCTCGTCCATGTTGCTACACACTTGTTGAAATGGTATTAATAATAGTAGTCTTTTCCGACAAGGATTGTGTGTCTGGCGTGCCTCGGTATAATGGGAGTTGCCTTTGACAAAGGGGTTCCATGGAGACTCTCATCTGCCCACAAATTCCATGTGTGGCTCGTTCGCAACAGGACGTACAGCCACAGCGCTGCTCCGCTGAGACGCTGGGGTAGGGGTGATGCATGTGTGTGTGTGTTTTTTTATTATTAGCATCGACCGCGCTAACCGGCTGACCAATTAAAAGACGTCAGTGCCAGCGGGTAAAAATCAAGGGGCCCCTTCCAGGGACCTTGATTTTTCGGCCAAAATTCGAAAAATGCGCAATGCGCTTGATGCGAATGCCAATACGACTCTCTCCACATGTTCCTTCACGTAGACACACATCTCAGCTACACAAATGCCCTCGCTCGAACCTAGGAAGCCACTGATGCAAAGAGCGGAGGACAGCAAAAGGGTTATTTCAAGCCCAGCCGAAGCCAGGATATCGTGGTATGCTGCATCTCCCAATTTGATGATCGTACACTCCCAAGATCCAACAGTCATCGTGCCAGCAGCTAGATGACTCAAACGAAACAGCAATACATACACTGCCATAGCTCCACACATACCTTCGTCCGAACCTAGCGAGCCACTAGGAAGTCACGAGGGAGCCAAGTCCTGCTCGCAGGTTCTCTTGGCTTTTTCCTTCAGGTGAACACGTCCAGGAATCCAGTATCCGCAGCCGCCGCAGTAGTACTACTGTACTGTGTAGTAGTAGCAGGAAATCCAGGTTGTACGCCGGTTGTCCAAACAAAAGATTTGTGATTCCGTGAGAGAAGGAGATACCACCGCCGTCGAAGGGTCGAGGGCACTGTCTGCCAGATGTAGGCTGTGAGATAGATTGTGCCACCTATGTGTTCTTAGCCTGCCCGCCCGTGAGGGTCGTGACGAGGCCGCCATGTGTGTGTGTGTGTGTGTGTGTGTGTGTGTGTGTGTGTGTGTTTTTTATTATTAGCATCGACCGCGCTAACCGGCTGACCAATGTGTGTGTGTGTGTGTGTGTGTGTGTGTTTTCGTCCTACTTGGTATTAATTATGGCGACAGTCCCCCCATTTTTCGTGGTAAGACGTGTACTACACTTTTCAGCGTATGTAGAGCACTACACTTTTCAGTGTATTTTTTCGTACAACTACAACCAGCCAGGGTCTCACAGGAGGGGGTAAACACCAGGGCTGCTTTTTCTTCGTTTATTTCTTTTCATCATGCCCCACCTTCCTCCTGCGGTGCCTGCTGAAATTTTATTTTTATCGCGAGAAGAGTCCAACCGTCCCTTTCCCTCGTCAACGGTGCTAACGTCGAAGTTTGGTACTCACGAGAGCTTTTGAGCTATACTTCACTTTCACCCGCGAAATTTGCAATATTTTCAGCCCACGGGGATTCGAACTCACGTCCTCTGCGACTCCCGGTTTACGAGGACACAGTTGACCACCGGGGCGACCGGGTATGGTACCCCCTGAATCGTATGGATGTTTCCCGGCTTTAGCGAGTGGTGGACACATCCCCACACGTGCATTATTATATCCTCAGAAAAATGGTCGTGCTTTTTTCCCGCCGGCCGCATCGTCCTTCCCTGCTGCAGATCATGAAGACGATCAACAAGATCAGGAGCAAAGATCCCGACATCTACGACGCGAAGAAAGAGTGGTTCAAGCCCGGAGAAGACAAGGCCGGCGGCGGGAGCGCTGGTGAGCAAGCAGGACAGCAGTAACTTTACCTCCCGAGCGGAGTTAGGATAGGGCACCCAGTAGCTGGCTTGTCCACAACGCGCTGCTTTCACAAGCTCGATTCCCGAGTAACCCGTGCTGTTGTTTGCTGCTCTCGCATTGTCTGTGGCCACCGTCCTCGCCAGGTGAGTGTACATTTGCTCTTCGTTTCTCCCCGCCTTCTCTCAGCCTCTTCCGGCAATAAACGATAGTTGGACTTACAGCAAGGACGACTCACCAAACCTAACCTGTCCGATGGAAGAGGCCAACAGGGTTCGTAGTCGTAACATAGCCGTTCAAATGGAACGCCAACGCGCTGGTCGAATCGCTTCGGGTGGTTGTGGGAGAAAGAAGGATTCTCGGAGCTCACTGCGTAGTCAGCTTCCACGACACAGATGCTTGCAATACGTGGCGTGCCTGTCCGCGCCGGTTGTTTGTTGGCCAGTTTGACGCTTCTCAAGACGAGGAACACGAGACAGCCGAAGCTTCGCCGCAACTTCGCCTTGAACGTGATGACACACACACACATGCACATGAACCATGCCGCTGTCTCGTAGCTTAACTGCTCTCGGTAGATCCCTCGCTCGTGTGCCACAGCTCGTCCGTGCTCAAATTTTTTTTGATTACATCCCACCCCTTCCCAATAAAAAATAGACGGAAGCAGCAGCAGCAACAAGAAGAAGACTGAGAAACGGATGCGCTACAAGGACGTGGTCCGCGAGCAGATCCTCCACGCGGAGAACGCCGAGGACGCCATCAGCTCCGACGAGGACAGCAACGACGACGAAGACAGCAGGGGCAACAGCAGCCGACGGAAACGCAGCGACAACGGGGGCGAGGGCCGGCGCGGCCTGGCATACGACGAGGAGCAGGAGAAGCTCCGGCGAGGCTTGTTGGGTTCCATAGCGGAGCATGACAGGGGAGGCGGAAGCGACGGCGGCGGGGAGGAAGAAGAGGACAGTGACGAGGAAGGGGGAGGTTTGCTCAAGGTATGTGGGTGCGTGGTCCACGTGTGTGTGAAGTTTTGTGCAAGACGTGGTGCTTTTCTGTTTCATTTTCGACCGCTCTCCGGCAGCCCGCCCGTGTGGTTGGGGGCTACCACTTGCCTGGGCGAACCGTGCGGAGGAATCCGATGTATGTATGTAACGCCTATCCGAGAGACTAACGTCCCCTTCTGTTGCATCATGCGCGCTCTTTTTCTATTGTCCCGTTAGTAAATATAGTACTTCTTATCCCCTATCGGGCGACGCCGCTCCTGTTGCAGGTTCGGAAAAAAACTGCGGCGGAAGTAGCCGAGGAGGAGGAGTTGCTCAAGAAGGAGGCTGACAAGATGGCCAGCCAGGGGGACGGGGGAGAAGAAGACGCCTTTCTACAGGACTTCGTGGGAAACCGCCGCTGGCTCGACCCACACTCCAAAGAAACCCCAAGGTGAGCAGTTTTCCTGTTTGGTCAGCGCGCCAGGCCGTTGAATTCTGAGTGGTTGGAAATTCTTCGGTAGTGTTTTAAGTCGGCCAGGGACGAAGCTTGCGTTACTGCTTATGTCGATGAGATCCGCCCTATGCATACGTGTACGAGAGGCGTCTGGTCCATCGTTGGTAAGACGTGCTGTGCGGTCTTTGCTTGGTGGGCCGCCACCGTCTGTCCAGCGCAACAACAGCAATTCATTTTTTTCCCGTGCCATACACAGGGCTATCATTCTCCTGATCCCTACCTCCTTTTCACGGTATGATGCTTGCATCTGGGATTTGTGTTACCGTATTGTCGTGCGCTGTCCGTGTCTGTGTGCTGTCTGTGTCTGTGTGTCGGAGAAGCTACGACGAGATCCTTAACGCTCCTCGCGTGGAAGACAGCGAGGACGAGGAGGACATCGACAAGGCCGACGACTTCGAGAGCAAGTACAACTTTAGGTTCGAGGAGGTGCGGTGATTGCCCTCACGCCTGCATTGCAACATGAGTGTATTTCTTTGGAGTGTACTCTCCCACGCTCCTCCCTTCGTGCAGGAACCCCTCTGTGCTATCTGATC